GTTTACCTGCATGCAACCAAAGCTCGCTCAAACATGATTGGTCAACAGTACTTGGGGACACACACAGAAACCAAAATGGCAAAATCTTGGTCTCTTGCCTCCAGATTCTGCATATGAAATGTTTAATGATACAATCAAAACCCACATTATTGTACAGGAAAAGGAGACAAACATACTTGGACTCCTTGTTTGCCAGAATGAGCTGGAAGATGCCGACACATGCCCCTCTCTTTCCTTCCCAGTAGTTGGAGCCTGGGTCCAGTTTCTCCAGTGCATCAAACGCTTTGGCTGCATAGTAGAACTGGCCCATCTGAAACAACAGACTGCGATCATGAGCACTGGTATGCAACATATTTAATTCCTAATAATAAAGCAAAAACTGGTGAAAAATATCACAAAGCAGGCAAGTAGAGAATCAAATGTGCATTTTCTCTTAAGATGACATTTAGGAATCAAGCTTATACATTTGACAGATATAAGGAAATGAGTATACTTGGAAATTTACAGCCTGGGACTGAAGGACCTGCTCTTAGCAATAAATTACTGCGTGTTAACAAAGACACAGCCAGATGGAGACATTGGTGCAATTGTACTGAAACTGATCTGTAACTATTTCAATAATCAACTTTCAGTCCTTTCAGCAATATATGCACTAAATGTTTGTATATCATTAACAACTGAATCACTTTTTTTGGACTGTTGGTCAGACAAAACAAGACACCTTGGGGTCTGGGAAATTGTGGAGGAGAGTTTTATAGACCAAACAATAATCGATTGATCGAGAAAATAATCTGTAAATTAACCAAAATTTGACATAATCATTAGTTGCAGCCTTCACAGGACAAAGACAAATTGTATTTTCATTAAATATTAATCATTTAGTCTATCTTTAAAAACAATCATAGTTTTCCAGAACCCCAGGTGATGTTTTAAAATTACTTCTTTTGTCTGACCAAGTGTCCAAAACTGAAAGATTTTCAATATGCGACTCATATAAAACACTGGGAAACTTGCCAATAGAGAGAAAATATAGATTAGATTAGATTATTACCTTTATTCTCCCACAATGGGGAAAATTCACTTGACTGACCTAACTGGTGATGACTGTATATACAAATGAATCAAAATTGTTGCAGATCAATTTTCTGTCGATAAGAGATTAATTCACTGATTGTTTCAGCTATAATTCATACATTTACACATGCATTCCCATTTAAGTGGTCACCACAGATGTTATTTGTGGCAGAGGAAACAAAACGAAAAGGACAACGTCACCTTGTAGCAATCGTTGGCAATGAGCTGCAGCAGACTGAAGGAATCAGAGGAAGTACCCATCTTCAGATAGAGCTCCCAGGCAAGCCGGCCCTTCTGGTTCATTATGTCTGACAAGAACAAGACGAGTGTTCAATAATCCATCGTTCGCAGGCAGTTTCAGCAACATTTATCCATTCAGATTTGGAAAATATTAAACGCCTGTAGGCAGGTATTATTGATGTGGATTAAGCCAAGAAAGGAGGAAAAATCTTTTAATGGAGATATCCATTTCTTAGAGCTGTTGACCGTAACACTAGTTGAGGGAAAGAGTGAGCCTAAATTCTTTATAAGCCTGAGGCCAAAATCTGACTCCTCCTAGGAAATGTGTGAATGAATTGTGCTACATGAATGAATAAGCCTTCAATAAAGATTTTGTATTTAAATACTATCATCAGTGCGACTACTATACATACAGCATCGTGCCAGCCAGCTGAGGTAAACATAGTCATTCTTGATCTTTTCATTCTGAATCAGCAGAAAAACCTGAAAGAAATATTAAAATAAGTCAGAAAAATGTGTCAACAATGTGTTAGACTTAATTAAAGTGTGTAAAAAGCAGTTGCACATATGTACGCTGAAGTAAGTCACCTCTTCTGCTTCTTTGTAGTTGCCAAGAGCTGCTTTAGCCTGAGCGTAGTTGAAGTTGAATGTATCGTCATTATAGAAGTAACCCTACAAAAAGAAAAGCAACCAACTGGTTGAGTGTCCACGTGTCCAAACAAAAGTGCATACAAAGTTTTAGTTTTTTGTTGGTCGTGAAAATCACAGGAAAGAAAGAAAAACACACCTGAATAAATACTGCGTCTATAAAGCACCTATCACCCGGTGTGTGGGAGTCTTTTTTTTCAACTCCCACTTACATACGGATACCACAGTGAAGTAATATCGCTGTGACTCTTTACTGGAAGATACCATATAATGTGCCTTTTATTGAACAACACTAACCTTGACTGAGTTTAGATATATGAGAACATCTTCAAACTGTCTCAAGAGGAAGAAGCAGGAGGCCATGCATTGTCTGCCAGGAATAGTGTCTGAAAGAGACAAATATGTTACACACACACACACTCTCACACACATACTCTCACACAGTGCTGCTTTAAAGGATTATATTGATCAAATATCTATGCAGTGTACCGCATTCGCTAGCCGAGCCTCCGACCAACTGAAAGAACTGTTGAGCAATTTTCAAATGATCCCTCTGAAAGATAAAAGCACAATAACAAATATTTGTCTTGGACTCACTGGTATTACATTTGTTTGTGTGTAACGATTTATTTTACAGAAATACTCACTGATCCAATTTCTTGTCCCAATGCTGCATTTACCACTCCCTTCAAAATATATTCCTGAGAAAATAAATGATCAAAGAAAAAAAAACATCATAAGCACTCTTCTGTAGAATTTAAGAAAGGCAACCCTCATTATTTTGACAGACAAACCCACTTAAAAGACCAGTGTGGATTTATTAGCATTCCTAACTGGTGAAGTTGCAGGAATGCAACCGGTTTGAATACAGCTCAAGGCCTTTTCAAGCTTGGTAGGGAGAAACTGTGGGTGGCTGCAACACAAGCAAAAAAACACCCCAGGCCCAATTTAAGCCAGTGTTTGTTTGTCTGATTCTGGGAAACATGGTGGTTCAACATAAAAGAGGACCCGCTGCCTCTGTAGATACAAATGTCTTATTCTAAGGTAACGGGAACAAAACTATTCTTATTTTCAGGTGATTAAACATTAATGTCAACATAACCATGAATATTATATTCCATTAGATCATCCTACATGTTACACAATGGACCTTTAAAAGCAAAACATAATTTAAGAGTAAAATATAAGAAAGTGTCAGGACTTTATCAATAATTTGAAAAAAATTTCATTGCTGCTTTAAATCCCATCAGGAGAAGATAAAAACTGTTCACAAAAAGGAAAAAAAAAATCTCCAGGAACTCTTAAGTAGAGCGAGGAGAAGCGTTTATTAACAGGCCTGATGTTATCTGGCATGATGCTGGTTTTTGTTAAACATGTTCTTTCTTATAAAAAGAGCAT